GGTAAGAATATGGTTATCTTCTTCAGTGTATCAGTTGCAGGGGGGTTGTTGTAGGCAGCCAAAACTTAAAGCAGCCCTGATGTTTGTTATTGCAGGAATTAACCAAGCCAGAGATAGCAGGGTAAAAGATGGCACTAAGGCTACTTCAGGGATTACACCTGGTCAGTTACACTGTATGGAGCACATTATTAACTTAAATAAAAAGTTTTTTACACAACTTTATCAAGATACAAAGTTGTATATATAAAAAACATAAGGAATATTAATTCTGACAGGATGAGTGGATGCATTTCTACATAATAACTAAAGAAATTTATACAAAGAAATGAAGCATTAGCTTCAGTGACTTGCTCCTCATTCGGAAGCCTGTGCACATTGAAGCAAAAATAAAACCTTTCCATTAAAAACAAGTGAATATCCAGGAATGCCATATTCAAGCACTGCTAATGTTAAGAGCTAAGGGCTAGATAGGTTAAGAGATTTAGACATAGAATATAGAAACTTTAGCATCGTCAAGTGTGGAATCCACACCCTGAGTTAAGTACCTGGTCTCTGTATGAAATACACAGGAGTTCCTGAGCAAACTGTCCTTAACCATGTGTGGAGCTGCAATGAGCTAGCGCATGGGACAAATTTGCTCATCACTAGGGATTACATCCATTTTCCTGAAAGCCTTTTTTTCAAAGGTTATGAACTTCTGAACAAAATCACAGAATCACAGAACGGTTGAGGTTGGAAATGACCTCAGGAGGTCATCTTGTCCACCCTCTACTCCAGCAGGGCAACCAAGGGCTAGTTGCCCAGGACTATGTCCAGACAGCTTTTGTATATCTCCAGGGGTGGAGACTCCAAAACCTCTCTGGGCAACCTGCTCTATTGCTTGGTCACCCTCACAGTAAAAGAGCATTTTCATATGTTCAGATGGAGCCTCCATTGTTTCAGTTTGTGCCCATTACCTCTTGAATAGTTGGGATAGATGGCATTGCTCTTTCATACAGGGTTTTACAGCTTAAAATACAAGGGCTTCAATTTCTTATCTTTTCAACTGGAAGAAAACCATTTTTAAACTCCATATAAAATTATCTTGTCTTAAATTTGAGATTCAGTGGTAGCGTTTTGTCCTCTATTGAAGGACTGTTATGCTGTGGGAAATAATTAAAGATTCAGAAGTTTGAATAAGAGCTGAGGAAGAGCATTACTCTAGACCTATTGTTAGAAAACTCACTTAGACTGAAAAGATGTGTCTCAATATCTACTTTATGGACCTCATAATCTAAATCCACAAACAGGTATGGGAAGAATACCTGCATTTGTAAATACAATTCAGTTCCATGTTCAAGAAGAAGTTGAAGCTGAGTCTCCTACTGCTTCAGTAAGTGCTCTTGGAGTGCCTGCTGCGCTTCATTGCTATTTCTTGCATGGCAATGGCTTTTGTTAGAGTCAACAAAAAGCCAGATGATTTTATTAGAGTATTACCAGGCTGAAGCTAGTAAGCACTGCTTCTCAGCTAGGCTTCTCAGCATACCTGGAGTGCCAGACTGGCTGGATCACTTTTGGTCCACTTGGAATCTAGGCAGAGCAAGCTCCTCACTGTCAAGCTAAGGGAAGAGTGATTCACACCTTGCCACAATAACTACATATTGCCCTAGGGAAAAACTGCCTAGTTTTACCTCCTTGCTTAATAGAATTGCCAGTGGAACTCTGCTGTAGATGGTCAGTCCCAAGCCCTGGAGTAACCACCCATGTTACAGTATTGTCTTGAGTTCCTGTTTTGGAAAGGTTCAGGAAGAGGTATAGTAGATGCCCAAGCGTGATGTAGCCCAACACTCAGCACACTACAGAAAGGAATCAACTGTACCTCCAAAGACGAGAAGGCCACAGTAGGATGTACACCTCTGTTCTTTGGAAAGCAAACATCCAGTTACCTATTTGGAGTCATGAAAGAAGAGGATACATAGCTCACTCTGGAAAAAGACTAACATTTTTTCTTAGCTTTCATTAAAGATCCAACTAAATGGGCCTATCTGCAATGGTTCTTCTTTGTAAACTGAGTTTGGGCAGACTTTTCTTTGTTTGTTGTTCCAATATACACAGATTTTAAAATATCTCTACTCAGGCTTTACTCTTTATCCTCAAGTTTAACTAAAGGTAATCATATAATGGCACAGACATGAATCCTTTTTCTAATGTTCATGTCTGTCAGTCAGTTTAATGTTCTGTCTACACATAAAGGTGTCTGTATCCTAATATAAATAAGGCTCTGTACAAAAATGTTTTGAATTTATGTGTGTTGGCTTCATTTTCAACATATTGCTCTGTGTTAGTCTTTCTATCTTTAAGCAGATTTTGCCTTTCTGTCTACTGTTCTGAGCTCACTGTTTGGTATTTAAATATTGCCTAAATAAATGAATTCGCGTTCCATTGTGCTAATGTACACTGTGTTCACACAAAGTTTGAAAGTAGGAGAAATGAAGTGTTTTATCAATTGCACAAAAGTTGCTGTTAATACCATATGGTAACTAGTTTTCAGTGTTTGGTAAAATTTTATTATATTATATGCTTTATCATCAATGTAAGATATGCATTTTTTATTTTTTTTTTAAAAAGAAAATTTCCCATGTGAATACTGAACATCTTGTAATGTAAAAACACATAAAAATGGTCACAACACTCATGTGAGTTGTTCTGTATGCTCATGGAGAACTGTATTAGTTAACTTAAGCTCTGATAGCAGAAATTAGCTAGCTATAACAAAACAGGGCTTCCAAACACTCTTGTCAAAGTAAGGGAACAGAAAGGAGAAGCCTATACTGTAACTGTTATGTTGTCAAAACCAGCAGCGTTAATTTTTTTTGTCTCTATATTGCCTCATGAAGTCCTCCCAGAGATAATCATCTTAATTAAATTGATCTTTTGAGAATGTTGATACAGTTAGCTGATAATGATCTGTGAGGTGAGCAGGGACGGCTGTAAGCCTTGCATGGACATTTTCCAAATTCTTACAAATAACAAAAAAGAAAAATTCAGGTAGCATGATGCTTTCTCTCTAGTAACGCTCTCTGAGTCTTCTTTCACTTTGCTATCTGTACATTCCTCAGCATAAACATACTTTGTTTAATCATAAATGCTACAAGACAATTCTTCGCAGAATTCTTCTCTAAGACATATTTTCTGTGAAAAGGAACTTTTAAAAAACCCTCAGAAGGATAAGGAATAGGGTTTTAGCTAAGAGTGTAATGCTGTTTTGGTTCTGAAGATTAGAGAAGTCCATGAGGCTTTTTTTTTTTTTTCACTGTGTGTTTGGTCTATAAGCAATTTATATTCCACCTCCAGAAATGCCTGCCTAAATATGAATGTGTATGTTTTTTCTGTCTTTAGGGTTTTTTTGCGGGTTGTTGTTTTTTTTTTTAAATGTGGATGTTTAATGCAAAATAAGGCATGATGTCAAATCCCTCAGATTCTTTAAATGATGGCCAGAAGAACCACTCTTACAGATGTACTCTGTTTGCATTGTAGTTTAAGTTTGCTGTAGCCCTGATAGAACTTTGGCCAAGCTCCACAAAACTTTGCAGCTGGCTGCTTGGATTATGTTTAGCAGGAAATTATATGAGATAGCCTGGTAGTAACTGTCTATAAAGGAATGCCCACAAAACAACATAGGTGGACAATAGCACAGGTATACACAAACGCACATTCATAGGATTGTAAATAAACAGATTTCACAGGCTCTATTAACTGCATTAACTGCCATGTTGTTCCTCCTTATTTACACCCATGTGAGTGGAAGTTTCACGACTATCATGTTTTTTTCAGATGAGAAAAGGCTGAAACATTGACATCTAACTATCTTAAGTATATCAAACTGGACTACTTTAATACTTACCATTAAAATATAGAAATATTCCATCCTTTTCCTTCCTGTACCCTCCGCTCTGAAAATACAATGCTTGGACTTGCAGCACTACATGTACACATGGTATTTGTGTGAGGCTGCTTGAAAATACAAGTTTGGCTGGTATACTCATGCACAGATTATGATTTCTTACTTTTATGTGTTGTCATTAATTTGTTGTCAAATACGTAACTGAATAGAAGAGACTGTCTTGAGTAGTTGAAATAAAGAGTAAATCTGATGAAGTAATGGTGTTACTTCTGAGTCTGACTGTTGTAAGAGAAATTTTAGATGATACACACCCTCATGAGAAACTGCTTCTTGAATACATAATCTGACTTTCTGAACAGAGCTATCTTGCCAGTACTTCTACAATTTCCCTTTACCTTACCCACACTGGAAGGAGGGAAAATTCACTTTTCTTTTATCTTCAGTGACACTAGAAGCAAAAAATTCCTTGATCATCTCTGATCCTAGTGCTGCACTTTATGAAATTCATATACAATTCCAGAAATTGTGTTGGAAATTGACTTTAGGAAATCTATTAAAATTGCGAGCGTGGCACGTTCCCAAGTTTAATTTATGGTTTGCAAAGATAAGGAATATTCATTGTCATCCTTTTTCTACTGTTAGGAATTACACATGTGTTTGTCTGAATTTATCATTTAGTCCATACAGAACATAGGGTCAACATTGACTAATCATGTAAAACATATACCTCAAGCTACTTTTATTTTGAAGCATCTCATGCTGAAGCAATGTAAGATTACATGAACTTAGATCAAGAATGGATCCATATTCTCTGCTTCCTTTGAAATATGAATTCTAGACAGCAGAATTGGTAACAACAGCTATCTCATCCTGCCTTTTTCCTCCTCTTTGGATCATGTTGTGTGTGTGTATGTATGTGTGTGTGTGTATTTTTATAAGTTTATATGCCACTGTTCTCAACTATATTATTTCTGGCAGTACTATGAAAGGGTGATTGGATAAAAAAAGTGCTCAGGAGCCTCTAATAGATTTCAACCCCGTCTGTCTGCTGCTCTGTTTTGCACTGAGTCAAGTATTTTTTTAAGCTGATAATTGAAAACCTATCTTGTTCTTACAGAATGGTTTTGCTGTTGTAAGGCCCCCAGGCCATCATGCTGAAGAATCAACAGCCATGTAAGTACCAGGGAATATTGCCCATCTTGGAGCACTAAGGTTACTGGCAATCACCTGCGTTGTGCATGTCTCTGAAGAACTGTAATTGTTAGCAGATGACTGAAAAGGCTTTCTAGGTACTCCCAGAAGCAGATTTATGGCCTCAGAGATCATATAGCATTTTTTAAAATGCTCTGAACATTATTTATAGCTGTTTTCCTGACTGATTTGCTTTCTTATTTCTGTTCTTCTCTATTCCACAGGGGGTTCTGCTTTTTTAATTCGATTGCAATTACTGCCAAATACTTGAGAGACAAGCTAAATATAGGCAAGATATTGATTGTAGATCTGGTATGTATTCTTGGCAAGCATCGCACTTTCAGTGCATCTAGATAAAAGATAATGAATTTGTATTTGTATGTCAGACTTTCCTGCTTTTAATACCTACAAGTAATAAAGGTGTGCATTTCCTCTGATTTTGGGAACTCATTAAAGCCAGGATGGCAGTACTGAAGCCATAAACATCTATGTTTCACTTTAATGGTGTTAACTGCAATTTAATGAGAAGAAGGCACAGATCAGGGCAACTTTTATGGTCCTTAAATGAATT